TCTCCTGCCTCCGCCTCCCAAGTAGCTGGGACCACAGGCGCCCGCCACAACGCCCGGCTATTTTTTGGTTGCAGCCGCCATTGTTGTTTGGCGGGCCCGTGCTGAATTCGAACTCGCCACCTTAGGTGTATGTGGCTGGCGCCTTAGCCACTTGAGCCACAGGCACCGAGCCTATTGAATTTTTCTTGAGACAGACTCTTACTATGTTGCCCTTGGTAGAGTGCTGTGGCGTCATAGCTCCGACTCTTGTGCTTAAGAGATTTTCTTGCCTCAGCCTCCTAAGTAGCTGGGACTACAGGCACCCGCCATAATGCCTGGCTATTACTGTTGTTGTTTTTGGAGTTGTCATTGTTGTTTTAGCAGGCCCGGGTCAGGTTCAAACCCTCCAGCACTGGTGTTATGTAGCCAGTGCCCTAACCACTGAGCTATAGGTGCCGAGCCAAGCCTCACATTTATTATTGCTTGAACTTCCTCTATAGTGCCTCACCCTCTACACACCTCTCTGTACCTTCTAATTAAGCGGTAATGTAGCCACTCAGTGAAGATGCTAACGACCTCCTAAGAAAGGTCAAACCCACCTTGGACAGTTGTATCAGAAAAGTTTGTTTGATACTGAAATCTGTATCCTTAAAACTTCCATGTATTTGATGAGCCTCATAAAAACGAAGATGATGAAAGCCTAAGATGTACTTTTTTTTATCTGGGTACCCTTTATTATCACTTGGCTAAAAAATTATCTAGGCATTAAAAAAAGAAGTAGCTACAGGTATTCTTAGGAAAAACATTAAAAGTCTTGGGAATATGGCAGCACGCGTAGCTCAGTGGGTAGGGTGCTGGGCCCATATACCAAGGGTGGTGGGTTCGAACCTGGCCCCGGCCAAACTGCAAAAAAAATAGCCAGGCATTGTGGCGGGTTCCCTGTAGTCCCAGCTACTCAGGAGACTGAGGCAAGAGAATCACCTACACCTAGGAGTTGGAGGTTGCTGTGAGCTGTGATGTCACAGCACTCTACTGAGGGTAATAAAGTGAGACTCTGTCTCAAAAAAACCCCAAAAACTTAAAGTCTTGGGACTAATGTTCTTTTACTGTTTAATAACTGCCAAAAATATGGGAAGAAAAAGTAAAAGGAGTTTCTATGTAAGGGGATGAGTGCATGACATAAAATAATAGGAAGTTAAAAACAGATCATCTCAGGTCAAATTTATAGAACATTTATAGAATGTAGAGACATGAATATAAGCAAATATAACTTACTCAGATAACACACAGATAAGAATTGGGTACTTATACGAAAAATGAAATGTCTCTTTGGAAACTCTGCCATAAAATCGACTTAGATTCAAAAAAGATGATTCTATGATACTTACAAGGTCTAATACTTTGGTCATCACCAAAATGCTGGTCATAGCATAAATGTATTTATGATCTATGTACAAATGACTTAATAAAAAAACAAAAAAAAATTCAAAAGATAAATAAAAAGGAGAAACAAGTTCTAATGTTTTATTGTACAATAGGGTGACAATGGTTGACAGTAAGGTATTACATTTTACAAAATAGCTAGAAAAGAGATTGTAAAATATTCTTACTACAAAGAAATGATAAATGCATGAGGTGAAAGTTATGCTAAGTACCCTGATTTTATAACATTATGCAGCATATATGGATAAAAACATCAAATTGTACCCCATAAATATGTACAATTACATTGTAGCAAGAAAAAAAGGATAAAGCTTGACTAATGTTCATCTAACCCATCAGACAGAAATTAAAAAAAAATTAAGTGAAGAAGAAAAAGGAAGGGAAGGAAGAAGAGAAGGAAGAGGGAAAGAACAGAAACAGCTAACCAAATTTTGGAGCTAATCAAACATTTATTTACTTTTTTCTAAAATATATGTCTGACACATTCTATTAAACAAAATGTCTTTGTATACATCTTATTCTATTGTAATCACTTAGGGCAGCGGTTCTGAATATGTGGGTTGTGACTCACAGCAACTGTATTAAAGGGTCACAGCATTAGAAAGGTTGAGAACCATTGATTTAGGCAGTAAGGGAGGTATTATTATGCCCATTAAAAAAAAACTTTATTTTTATTTTTTTAAATTTCAAATTTAAAAAAATTTAACTGAGGGCAGTACCTGCAGCTCAAGGAGTAGGGTGCTGGCCCCATATATCAGAGGTAGTGGGTTCAAACCCGGCCCGGCCAAAAATTGTGAAAAAAAAAATAACTGAGATAACACTGTTCTCACTGTAGCGACTAGTAGTATTTTCACAAACATCTTTTATACATGTCCCTTTAATATATGTTTTTATTTTGTGGTGTTCATATTTTTAAAATATCCATGTGTGTATGTGTCAGAATTATATATCTTTTCAGAATTTTATTTATTTTTATTTTTTTGAGACAGAGTCTCACTATGTCGCCCTCGGTAGAATGCTGTGACCTTACAGTTCACAGCAACCTCAAACTCTTGGGCTTAAGCGATTCTCTTGCCTCAGCCTCCCAAGTAGCTGGGACTATAGGCAGCCGCCACAACGCTGAGCTATTTTTCAGTTGTAGTTGTCATTGTTGTTTGGCAGGCCCGGGCTGGGTTCAAACCCTCCAGCTCTGGTGTATGTGGCTGGTGCCCTAGCTGTTGTGCTACAGGCACCGAGCCTGAATTATGTATCTTTTCAATGTAAGAATATATTGTATATATATGTATGTGCTATTCCCCCTCTTTCTTCATATGTAAT